AATCAGCATTAGGAGACTCAGCTCCATAAAGCGCAACAATTTTTGGTGGTTTACTGAATTCAAAAGGGATAAAATAACTTTAAAGATGATCAAAGAACCGGGGCCCGCAAACAGCAGTAACGGCCGAAAATGTGTGGACTACTGAAATCTTGGTGCGAGAAGACCCACGAATTACATATACGGACATCGAAAAGATTGTAGGCATATGTCATTTCATCCTACGTCAACATCTTGGAGTGAGGAAGTTCTGTTGTCGATGGATCACTCGTTTGCTCTCTGAAAGCGAAAAACAGACTCGTGTTTGGTGCCATAAAATACGCCTACGTTTAAAAAAACTACGTTTAAAAACGGGGCATCTAGGCGTATTTCAGAAATCATTACTGGTGACAAAACATGGATTTATAAATATGATCCGGAAAAAATTGTTTTTTAATTTTTAATATAAGGCAATCGTCGGTATGGGTCTACTCAGAAAGACAGTTACCGACAAAAGCTTTTCAAGCTGTGGGGGAGAGAAGACCAAAGACTGGGCTTTGGAGAATCATGCTGCATCACGATAACGCCTCTTCACGTCCCTTAGAACAAAAGCATTTATTGAGGAATCTGGTGTTGAGACACCCACAGCCCTGACTTAGCTCCTTGTGATTTCTTTTTGTTCCCAAGAGTCAAAGAAAAAATAAAAGGCAAGTTTTTTCAAGCGGCGAAGAAGCCGTGGCTGCCTACGAAGAAGCGATTTCCGACCTGTCAGATCAAGCCTGGCAAAAGTGTTTTCAGAGTTGGCTTAGGCCAATGGAACTTTGATATAGAGCATGATGGAGAATATTTTGAAAAGATGTGAAATAAATATTAATAGTATTTAGTATACTTTTTGTATATCTCAAAACTTATAGAGTGTCCCACGTAGTATAAAATTACCCTTCCTTGATTTATAAGACCTATGATTGCAAATTAGGGAAGATTTTGTAGAATTTGAAAATTGGTGAAATTGTGATGAAGTATTGCTATATGCTTTTACTCTCCTTATAATATATCTACATAATGTATTGTACTTTATTTACATCTGTATTTTTGTCTTTAACGGTTTCGCCAGATTTTTGAAATAATGCGTGTAGCTAAACTAATTGCATGGGTAGTGTGTGTACTCTATCCTTCCTATCTCTCCCTCTCTCTACTCTCTCGTTAATATTTTAAAAGTTATAATTGTTACGTACCTTCATAGTAAGCTGCTACACACTCACACTTATTAATCAGCTTGTAAATGTACCCTATTGAAAATGTACTGATGCTCTTCTGCTCCCGTGATGACGCTTATTTATATTCGTTTATTTCTCATGTGTCACGTGGTAGAGACACACTGCAGTTATATTATAGTAGTAGGACGACGCTCTCACGGAAAATCAGCGTTAAATAGCAGGTTGATGTTGCTGTATTTCGTATCGTGAGTGTGAGGCGAGTCATTCCATCTTAGTCTTCATGTGTGACAACGCATGTGCATTTTGAATCATAATCAAGGATAAGTGTAGATGTCTATGGGCCTCAACATCCACTTACCGTCAGGTGGACCGTGTGCTCGTTTGTCACCCTTATTCTATAAAAAGGAAAACAATGACAGCTTCATTTCCCAGAAATTTAGAATTAAAGCACTTGAGCACAATACACCACTCTGTTTTTCAACACCCACGAGGGACAAAACTCGCAATGGGTAAGCGTTAAAAAGGTTCGACTTTCGCATGGAACATGTATTTGGTTACTTACAGATTTGAGTGGTCGTCCACATGTAAATTACATATTATAATAATTAAAATACCCCCACGATAAATGAGAATTATGTAATATAGAGGGGTCAAGTTTAGGAAAAAAATACAATAAAAACATTCATAAACTTCCTCGAATACCAATAAACTTACTATATTTTTTGGTACCTACAGTTTAAAATTAAATTAAATTTCAAACAATGCACGAAATAAAATTGGAATAAAAATCATTAATTTTTAAATCTTTATTTGAATATAGACCTGTAAAATCTACATTGACTAATAATTTAATTGTAAAATTATATATAAATTTCATATTAAAAAAATAAAAGTACTTAAGTTACTTACGTTTAACTTAATGAAATCTTATATAAAACCATGGACGGATCGGTTACATTTATTGAACTACAAATACATTTACGATGGATGTTTTTGAAATAAAACAATAAATTGTTCGGTTTTTGGATATTTAAGGTGTAAGTGGAATATCAATATTTTATAGAACTGACCTTCCTCATTTGCACGCAGAGAGGTGCTGAACAAAGACTTACTAGTGAGGAGCAGCATAACCAGAACTAGTATGAGGGTACATACATATACATAAACACTCACGCCTGTCACCTATAGGGGTAGGCGGAGACTACAGACTGCCATTTGACACGAACCTGACACACCTCTCTCGCCCCCTCCACATCCATATACCTATGCATACATGTTCGTCGGTTAAGGGTACTCCTAATTTGGCCCATTTTCAGTATATCGCCAATTTGGTCGATAAACTTTCGCCTACAGACGTCCCTTTCCGACTCTGCCGTTCGCTTCTGCAACAAAATTTGCTTTGTCACTTTTTCCTCATTCATTCTTTCCACATGACCAAACCACCGAAGCATTTCTTTCTTAATCCTGGTCACAACATCATTTTGCAAACCACACTCTTCTCTATATAGTATGAGGGTATCAACTATAAGTTCACAATCCCGGCCGCCGAGCGCGATATAGGCAAACCTTTCAAGTGGTGCTACCGAAGTGGCGCATACTTGGAAAGGAGCTCTACGTCCAGCCGTGGACTTCAAATGGCTGTTAATATTTGAAGTACTTTTGCGTATGGCTATTTTTACAGTAGGAATTTCCTTAACATTATCGAAATACTACAGACACTAGGTATAGTTAACAAAACTAAAGTTATATAAATATTATAAAAGTAGTTTCTGATAGGCAATTTGGTCATACGAGTATAACCTATATTGGTGGGTGGGTTTTGTAGCAGTATGTATAATTAACATCAATAGGTTTTTTAAAGAAAACAATACTATAATATATTCATTCTAACTCACGAATCAAGATACAGTAAACTGTTCGGCATCCAGCAAACGCAGTCATGGAAAGGACCTACTTTACAGGATACACAAAAAGTGATGTACTTAAATCCTTACTCTATATGCAAATGCATTCCCGTTTTTAGAAAGTTAGTTTTTTAAGGTAAAAGTCTTTTTTGTACAATATTATACAAATACGCATATTATTCTGGTTGCATACTTCAATTAAAGCAGAAATATTTTTTCCCGAATATCACGTACGCGATTTTAACGCCCAAACCCAGTAACGTAAAGTAATAAGTAGTACGTATCTAGATGTAGAATCTACTAGTTCAGTCTGTGTCCTAGATGTTCAAGCTACAACGGCGTGATTACTAATTGTACCACAACTTAACTGTACAATTTTGGTTATTTTATTGAAATGTTACTATTAAATTATTGTTGTTGTATTACTGTTTTGTTGTGTTATGTTTCCGCCAAATATATTATTATAAGTAAATTATTACTTACAAGTTTTGTCATATTATTGTGAGACTTTAATTTTTGTCTTAGGTAAAACTTACTGCAGACTTAGTATTTTATGTATGATAGAATTACGCAACACAAGATAGAATAATAAAACACTTTTTTGTTTATTACCTAATAATTGACTTCCTTACATAAGTATAACATTTTCCTGTAATGTCTACTGGTATTTATCTGGTAGGTAATACGAAATGTAGTTTTTGACTTTCTCGATATTATAACATTGTTATTAGTCTGAATTTTTGCGTCCGTTATAAAAAACGTTAAAAAAAAGTGTACTCATGTAATCGATTCATGAACGAACATTGTGCTAATTTAAACCGTCATAAAAGAAACAAGGCCTTTATATTAAGAACGTTATCATTTTAAAAACATATCTAGCCATATTTTAAGACTTCAACGCCACCTTGTATTCTATCGTTACTTATATAAAAAGGAAGTAGTTTCCACCATATCAGTTAGACAGAAAAAGAGAAAATCAATTAGGCTTTCTGACATCGATCTTCAAATATAAAAAAGACGAGTGCATGATCAGAAATTCTCTTTTGTTATTAAAGAATAATTGGGCTGTATTTCTTTATTTGTAGAATTAATTCTATATAGATTAATTCTATATAGAATTAATCTACAAATAGATAAAGGTGGGTTGAGCTTAAAATATTAGTATGTTAGAAAGTTCTTAATATGAAGGCCTTGTTTCTTTTATGACGGGTTAAATTAGCTGTGCTAATTTAACAGAGCCGTGGTAGCTCAGTGGTTAACGCTCGCTGTAAATATAACAGAACGCGAGTAACCCGGGTTCGATCCCCGCCGGCACCAATGAAATTGTTAATTGCAATTTTAAGTGCTGATTTACCACGTGCTCGGCGGTGAAGGAAAACATCGTGAGGAAACCTGCATGTCTGAGGAATAAGAAAAAAAATATTTCGAAGACATGTGAAGTTCGTCAACACGCATTTGGGCAGCGCGGCGGACACTTCCTTGCCCTAAACCCTCTCAGAAATGAGGGTAGGCCTGAGCCCAGCAGTGGGACGTATATAGGCTGTAACTTTTACTTTACTTAAATTAGCACAATGTTCGTTCGTGAATCGATTACATGAGTACACTTTTTTAACTGATTTCATAATAGGTATGTATTCGATGTAACATACAGGTTGTTATTTACGCCATTACACTAGTTAAATAACATATTTAACTTTACGTTATGAAAAAAAAACTGTTACGTGTAATGTAACAGTTTTTTTTCTGGTTTTTTAATATTAAACTACTAAGCAAGAAAACTGAAGGTAATGCGGAATATTTCTTCCTATATTGTTTGTAAGTAGAAACCCTATCAACTTATGTGTTCTTATCTTACAATTAACAAATCTGTTGACAGCTTTATTGAAACTAGTTATTTTCAACATCAACCACTTCCTTCATTTTGTATAACTTGAACCACAGTTTCTGGACTGTCATTTAATATCGTGTATTGTGACTTATTCATTTCTTCCCTGTTCAACTTATTCTTGTCGAGTGTTCGAATGCGCGTACGCAGTTTACTGCAACGTCCATCCATGATCTTTTCAAACGGCTCTGAAATCAAATTAAGCGTAACGCTATAAAGTATTTTAACAAAAGCAAGACAAGTTAAGAAGTAACTATATATTAAAATATTATTTTAATTTTTTAAATTATTTCATATGATATTTCCTATCTAATGAAACATTTTTAAGCCTAGTTACATCTTTTATAAAAATTTCAAAGGACCTCGCAGTTCACTTGATGGGTAAATTGATGATGGTCACATAATCTATCTACTGTACTGTACTGACAAATAAGCCTGGGCATCTGTCGCCTATAGGCCTCTAAGACCTTTAAGTATGTTTCACGACTTGTAATTATGTATATATAATGATAATAATGTCCTCCAGACCGAATTCCGGCCACGGCGGCCTGCCTCAACGGAGACTAGCCAGCGGCGCAGGACAGGATTATAGTGCCCTCACCCTCATAATCCGATGGGACGGTAAACCGACACGACCGGAGGGAGATCAGGCGCAGGACCAACGGCTTTACGTGCTTTCCGAAACACGAGGGTAAGACACTGCCGACTTCCTGACTCCGGGCAACTACTGAGAATTTCTTGACGGAAAAATTCAATAATTAATTTTTTGGCACGACCCGGGATTCGAATCCAGGACCTCATGTTCATCAGTCGTACTACTACAACCACTAGACTAACGAGGCAGTCATATGTATATATATATTGCATATCTAACCCTATAAATTACTCTACTGCTGCTTTTTGTTATATAACAGTGAGTGATTACTAAGTTGGAAAATATTAGAGACAAAGCACGATGTACTTACGATTTTTCCTAAACGAGTTATGACAAGCCAAATGGCAAATCGAAGGGAAACCCTTCAAACTGTTTGGGTCTATCGGAATGACCGCCAAAGGAGCAGCACAAATCGGTTCTTTCTTTCCTCTGCAAGAATCTACGCAGTTATTATAGTTATTTCCTTTCCTGCGCTGCGATCGACGTGATGAAGGTTTCCTGGTTGTGGTTGTGGGATTAATTGTTATATTTGTGATTGAACCTCTCGGCGCTTTAACGCGTATCGTAAAAGCTGGATTTTTATTCTCACCCTGTTCTAGTCGTGGCCTAGGATTTCTCTCGGTGAAAGTTATGTTTGCACATGGCACCAAAGTACTACTAGTACGAGGGTAGTAAGAGGGAGTAGTCGAACTGATTGCAGGACTTGAATATGCCGGCCCAGGGGAAGTACTTGAGTCCTGCCATGTCCCACCCAATGGTACATGTGGTGTAGTAGAACTTATAAATGACCCTCGTCTTACATTTCCCGACACGCCTGTAAAGGCAGATGATGGCAAAATTATTGTTTGTGTAGTTGAAATTCTTGTCGATGGTGTTTCTTCTTGTCTGAACTCATTAGTTGGTTGAGCTGCTCTTGGAGTTGTTTCTTGTGCTGTTAACTGTCTCGTTATTTGGGTTGTTGGTTGGGCATTTGGTACTGATGGCGAAGCAGATTGAGAGTACTGTTGTATTGACACCGGCGCTTGTTGATATATGAGGAAGTATTTAGGTTGTCCAGTCGTTTGCGGGTTAGCTTGTTTTTCTGACGTTGGGATCGGAAGAGATGGTAGGGGTGATAAGAACTGTATTGGTTGTTCTGACAGCTGATATACTATCTGCCTTTGTTCTCTAACCGTTGGAGGTGATGTTGAAGAACTTTCTCGTAATGGTGAAACTCGCTGTGTAGTATCTCTGGTAGATGGGGATGACTCCAATTCAGTTGAACGAGCAGTGCTGGTTGGTGAACTTATAAGCACTTCGCCTATCTCAGGAGTAGATGACGACGTTACAATGATGGGATTTTTCGACGTTGCATGCATTGTAAATAACTCAGTAAGTAGTTTTGGATGGTATCCCGCATCGTTTATAAGATTTGCCGCGTACCATTCTGGTAATACCTTTGGAATTTCTGCTCGACATAGTTGTAACACTGCAACAAAATTATTATTTTATAAGAACCACATTGTAGCACCTTCTCTCTAAATTGAAATTATTAAATGACCGTGTAGTCGCGCTGAAAGGATATCCACTTCCTCGCATCGTCCCCTGGCTGTTATAAGAGACGCCAGAGAGAAACAAACCACAATATGGACAGTAGCACCTTCCTAATAAAAACTAAATAATAAAAAACTGCGGTTGCCAACCCGATTGCTAATAGTGGCAACTATGGCAAATATCCCAATAGCAATATATGGTGAGGTCTTTGTTCAGAAATACACTTCTGATAGGCTGAACCGGTAACTGTAACTAACTATACGTTTTTTTACTCAAAGGATAATAGCTCGACTTAAAATATACAGTAAATAGAATTCGATCATGGCAGGCATCAAATATATTGTTATTGAATTTTAGTGCTGATCTACCATGTGCTCGGCGGTGAAGGAAAAAATAGTTTAAGAAAATTAAAAATATACAGGATGGAAAAAAGCTAACGGGACATGGAGGTAGTAGCATTTAATATTGAAGATATTAAATTTCACTCAAAAGTAACATTCCTTTGTTTTTTTTTTTCGAAATAAGAATAACCACATTGAAATGTTTTTTTAAAACTTACACGAGCCGGTAATTATTATTATATAAAAATAAAAAGAAAATCACTATTTTATTAAACCAATCGATGTGGTCTAAGACAAGAATAATAAATATCTTTCGAATAAAGATTGTATCTTACAATTAAAGAATATCGTGAAATCTAATTCTTACAAGTCGACTTAAAATAACATCCTAACCAAGGCTTTATTTAAAAGTTCAAAGACCTTTTGTTATTTTCTCTGTATGGATCTTGCTGGACATTTCATTGTTTCGTTTCTGCCTATCCAGGTGTTGAAATTGTTATTGGGATAAACAGTTCATATTCTACTATTATGGACGAGAGCACCACTTTGCTGAAATATTTTATATTTGCTCCTCCTCTGGCAGAACATTAAATTTATTTCGAAGAAGGTTTAATATTTCTATGTATATGTTTAAGCACGTACAACTATGTTTCTCACGATGCCACACCAAACATTTAACGAAAATCTCACTTAACTACCTACTACTGCCAATAATGATTATTACGCCTATCATTGCTAAAATTTCCATTACATTATTTGCTAAAATTAGTTTAATCAGACCACACAATTTAGTCTAAGAAGTTTGGCGGACTTTTCTGTTTGAATATTCTTATAGAATTTCAATCTTCTCTAACGGTCTCCAGCATGTAGTTTCCAACCGCCCATTGCGATAACATTAATTTGTATTTGTACTTTTTTAGCACACTTCAGAGCAGCTTATCCACTGGAAGCTATTGGATAACACTTAAAGTTTGTCACATATGCAGATTTTGTTGCTGTGAGAGTTTCTTGAAACATCCGATACCTACAAAATTTTTACCATTCGTAATAAGTAATAACAGATGTCCGTTCGGATACGTTTCTTCATACCAGTGTAGAGTTAATGCAAAGCAGAAATCTTAGAAAAATAACAACAGGTTACCAATACGTTTATTCGGATTTCAAAATTACAATCTCACTCATTAAAATGTTCTATTTTTAAACTTGTCTCGTTAAAAAAATAAATGATGATTATTACGATATTAATACGTTGATAAAATTAATTTCTAATGAAAAATATATCCCAAAAAAAAATTAGGTCTTTACCTATGACATTGTAATTTTTTATGAAATAAGTTAACGTATTTTTTTATACATTTTTTATTTCTATTAATCAAAGTAATCACTCGTACAATCGATGCATCTTTACTGACACAGTGGCTGTTTATTGACGTCCTTCTTGAAGAAAACAGGACGAGAGGTAACAAGTTTTTCAAAGGTATTTTGTACTGCCTCTCGAGTACTGAACTTTTGTCCCGCCAAAAAATTATGCAAATTCTGGAAAAAGTTGAATTCTATAGGCACACGGTCTGTTGAGTACGGCGGATGACGGAGAGCTTTCAATCCCAGCTCTTGTAACTTGGTGACCGTCTGTTGTGCAGTATGAGGTCACGCGTTTTCGTACTGGAACAGCGGAGACGAGCGATTGACTAAAGCTGGTTGGAGACTTGCGAGCTTCTCCATCATTGTGTTTAGTCCTTCACAGTACGCATCTGCAGTAATGCTCATCCTGTCATGGGCTAGACCACAAAATAATCACCATCACTTTTCTAGGGGTAAGTTTGTGTTTAGAGCGTTGTTTAGGTGCTGAACCAGCATCCAACCAACTTGCTGAGTGCTTTCGAATGTTATTCAGAATCTATTTTCCGTTGCAGGTAGTAATGTGGTTCAAAATTCCTTCGTTTGGCACGTTTCCAAGGCACGTCTCAACGCGTACTTCGTGTTGGCGATCGGCCATTGACTACGTGGGACACTCATTTGTCAAGCTTTTTACCTTGCCAATTTGACGCAAATGATCCAATATTGTTTCGATGCTAACGTTGAAAGCTGCTGCTAATTCAGCCGTAGACTGAGTATCCATCAGCTTCTGCAAACGCCTTTAATTCGTCATAGTCGACCGAAGTTTTCGGACGACCACGGGGTTCATTTTCCAGGTCGAAATTTCTAGAATTGAAGCGGGCAAACCAATAACAGGTGGTGCATTCGTTTGCATTCGTTAGTAGCGAATGCTCCGTAAACGCGAGTGCCGCGTTGCTGCCACGGATATTCTACAATTACTCGAATTTTTAACGTATCCATGATGATGAAAAATAATCAAATCAAGCAATTAAAACAAAATGCCAATCAATAAACAAATGAAAAATTCTGATAAAAGAATTCCCTATTTTTAAAGGAAAATTAAATTGAATTTAGCATTCTTAGCCAAACAATAATTATTTTGATTTGAAATGACCAGTACTGCAGAATCGCAATTTCACAGGTAAACACATATTATTTCTTAACAACCCAAAAAGTAATGTTTATTTGTGTAGCTAAAAAGTTTTCACTTCTGACGGGCAGTCCTACGACTGACAGTTTTTTTCTTTAATTTAGGTATTCTTATTATGGAGTTTTATGGAAATGATAAAGTGTCATTTGACTTTTATAAAAAAGAGTCTAGGTTAGGATGTTAGTTCAAGTAGAGGGTACGAATTGTTTGATTTTATGGTCTTTTATAATTTACCATAGACTATCCTATCGACTGGTTCAATAAAATAGTGACGATCTATTTTTTGCATGCTTAGTTGGTTCAATTCCCAGCTTACCTGAGCTTTTAAAAAAAACCTTTGAGTGAAATTAGATGTCTTTATTATTTAATGGACTTCCTTCCATGTCCAGTGAGTTTTTTCTATCCTGTAAATAGATATCTCTTTCGAGTAAAAGTGACGCCGTGTCACTTTTACTGGAAATTTACTCGTCACTGACGCTTTTCTCTAGCTTATTTTATCCACCCAATGAAGAATATGCCTGTCCCTAGCAACGGAAGCTATGTAGGCTGTTACTGTACCTTCTTTCGTTGGCGCTGACGACTTACAACCGCGCATTTATTTTTTTAACTATGCTGTAAAGAAAATACTGGTCGAGAAGAAACTGTACTCTAACGAAAATACGTGAAAAAAGGAAAGGAAAAAAAATAACAAAATCGGACTTGAGCTAACACAGTCAGTTGGGGTCACTGACTGCACTGTACACTCACATAATTTTTTTTAATACAACAAATTCAATCACAAAACAAAATTTGGTAAAACTACGCTGTTATTTTATGGAGATTTAAACATGATCCTATCATCAAGTTCTATTGATGTACTAACAGTGTTATTGTAGCGAAGGTATTACGCCCTATAAATGTATTAAATCTGATCTTAGTACGTTTATGTTGTAAGTCGCTACATATTAAGTTTGTGTTAATATGATTTGTTCTTATTGCAGCCAGCTTCGTCACATCTCGCGGCGGAAAAGAAACCTGTTTTCAAGGTCTACTTTTTGCGATCGGTCTCCCTAGTAAGGTCAAGTCCCTCGGTCGGTGACAGGAATAAAATATTTTCGTTTCATTGATCAAACGTTCAACAAAAATAAAAAGGGCATTGATATGCATTGTATTGCTCCGCTGTGGGAAAACTAACGATGCGATCATTGTTACCTATTCTATTTAAAAATCTATAAGTAGATCCGTTCAACATAGCTAGGTGTACGCACGCATAAACATAAAACATTTTGTTTTTTCTTTGAATATGGAATTGTGCCCAATGCTGAACTTTTGAGATCATCAGACTGTATCAACTGCTTGATATCGGCATCTCCCAGAAAAAGATTTAGGCGAAGAAAAATTGGTAACTTTTGGTGATCTCAAAACTTGGTTAGTTTTAGATTTTGGGTTCGGCATTTTCGAATGTATTTATTAACATATTTTGGTTGTCAAAACCTCGTTTAATCAGCACTTGGAAAAAAATGTGGTATTTTCCCAAACACAAACAATTAAAATAGCTCAAACATGGTAAAATAGAATATTATATCTTTACTGGGCACAGGCCTTTCTGCCATCTGAGAGCCTCCTTGGAGCAGCCAATCTGCCGCACTGTTCAAGTATATCTTAGCAAACTTTATATGTCCTCGTTATGTTTTATTTTTCGAATATCTATATTTCTTCACAGCAACTTTCCCGCCGAATACAGAATAAAATAGTCCCTAAAATAGCATTTAACAATTTCATAAGTGCCGGTGGGTATCGAACTCCCGTACTATCAAATATACGGCAAATTCTTAGCCACTAGTCTTACGAGAATTATGGAGTCGAACTAGGTATGCAACATTTCTGATTTCTGATATGTAATAAATCTGTTGCGACGTACCATTTAGCTTGGTTTTAAACGGCACATTCCGTTCCTAACTACGTCATATTTGCGTAGGACAGTCATGTCCATACCTTATTGTTTGTTGATCAACGAAATTTATAGCGGCTAACAAGTTTTGTTATAGTGTTACGTACTTATGTACCTATGTTTAGACGGATAGCAAT